GAGAATCGGTGGTTATGATCAGAGTTATTAGTTTCGAAAACAGCACTGCATTTTTGTTCTGATTTTATCACTGATCAGTGATATCGAGGCATTCATCTAGCACTGTCACCCCGGGTTGACCAAAAATGCTAGTCATACAATTTTCATATATGGAAAAAGGCTAATCATTTACTCCATAAGTACGAAACATTGCATGAAAGATCTATGATTAGTATTTTTTCATGTATGCAAGTTGTATGACTAGCATTTATCCATAAATCAAAAATACTGATATTTTACGTTCTAATTTCTCAAAATTTTTGGTTGTGTTCGTAACCGAACATAATTGACATAAACCTTGGTTACTCAAACGTAGTAACCAAAGGTTTGGCCGTCTCGCATTAAAGAAGCATTCGAAACAGCCTGAAATGTGTTAATTCTGTTTCAAACAAATAATATAAGAAAAGTAACGAACTTTTAAATTTTGGCAAAAATTTTCAAATATGTTTATTTCTAAAATTTGAGTTTTTAAATTACCAGACATTGATCAAGGCATAGAAAAACATGTCATACAAAAAAAGAGGAGTTTTAAGCGTTTTTGAAAAAAGTTATGAAGAGAAAACGAAAGAAAATCCATTGTTAGTATATCCAGGACTACGTTATACACACAAAAAATTAAACTTTGCATGCAAATTTTTTTCTCAAAAATTTTTTGTTTCAGTACGAAAATCAATTTGCGATTGAAAAAAAAAATTGGGGGCAATTTCAAAAATACTGAAAAATTTTTGTCGTCGCCATCAAAAAAATGCTAGTCATACGTTTTCCATATATGGAATATGTATGATTAGCATTTTTTTTGGTCAAAAAGTTTTTCTTTTTATGTAGTACGATACACCGAATTTATGCCAAAACAAAAGAAAATCTTTTTTGAAAATTCGACGACACCATTTTAGCAAAATGTATGAAACTTGTATGACTAGTATTTTTTCATAAACTTAGTTTCTGGAATTGTATGATAAGCATTTTTCGTCTAATGAGGTCAACCCGGGACAGTAATGTTTTCATACTGTTGCACAAAGAAAGAGTTTTGATTTTGATTGGAAGACCGATCCGCGTTAGAATGAAAAACCGTTCAAGATTTTTGCAAGGTTTTGCATTTTTCAGATGCGCAGTTTGATATGCAAAAATTACACGAGTCTTTGAAAAATTTTGCAAAAATAGTGCCTTCTTTCAGCCATATAGAAAAAAAGACATGTTATACATATGTACAATATGGGCTTCCAGCAAACATTTATTTTTGTAATTTTTGATTTTCTCACGATTGTCCGAATAAAGTTACTTTAATTATAATTCTCTTTGTGCACTCGTATAGACTTGTTTTTATTGTACTGGTGTAGTTCTATTATGCTCTCTCCTACTGGAAAAACATATTTCAGCAATTTCAGCTGTTTTTGACGGTTTGTGTTTTTATTAAATACTTAGAGCATGTTAACAGCACCGAGCACCCATGGATCATAATCGATTATATTTTCATATGGATTATAATCCTAATATTTTTTATGTCAATGTAATCCATTATAATCGATTATAATAGACTTTTTTGAGGGATTATTCATGAAATTTACAATTTTGTTTGAAATTATCTCATTTTCTGTTTAGTGCAGCTGCTACGCATTACGTTTCATAAAATGTTACATTTCAGAATAAAATGTATACATTTTTTGTCTCTACTTTTTAATTTGATTTCTTTCAGCCATATAGAAAAAATGCATCGCACTTAACACTTCATTTTATTGTTTTTTTGTTTCTTTATTTTTTCACCACAACCCCTCTCCCCCCCTAGTTTACCACCCCCCTCCTAGTTTAATACCCCCCCGTTAAGCGCCCCCACCAGTTTAGCCCCTTCCCCACCCAGTTTACCCCCCCCCCCCCCTCCTCCAGTTTACCCTGCGCCCAGTTTACCCCCCCCCCCCCCCCCCCCCAGCTTACCCCCCCCCCCAAGCTTACCCCCTCCCCCCAAATGGCATTTAGTAAAAGACATGGCGTACATTCTGTAAATGTCTCGCAAAAAATAATCTAATTTTATAACGGATTCTTATTTCAAAAATAATCGATTATAATGGATTATCTTGGCAAAAATACTCAATTTCGGTGACAAAAATAATGGATTATGATAGATTAGAATGGATGATATTGGATTATGCTTTTTTTAAAAATAATCGATTCGTGGTCTAAATTTTACATCTGTAATGGATTCTAAAGGATTAATTTTGTCTCGGAAATACATTATAATCGATTAGAATCCATGGGCACTCGGTGCGGTTGAAACAATTTATTCGCAAGGAAAAG